CTGTCTAAAAAGTACTGAACTTCTGCATGCTCTCCATCAAATCTGTGTTCTTTACAAATATTGAAACATTCAGACCTGAACCATTTAAAACTTGACAGATCTATTCGAATTGCATAAGATGAGTTTTGAATATTTGTAAAAATATAACCCTTTTTATATATGTCATTCTCTTCAATTGTACTCAGTACAATTTTATTTTAATTATCTATAAAAAAATACCAAATTCTGTACGGTGGACATAATAGCTGTACTCTAAACAATTGTAAAGGCTATTGAATAAAATGGATACGACAGAAAACGTCCACAAATCAGTACTTTTACCATAACCCTAACCCAGCCCTTAGCTGTACCTAACCTTTTCCATTACTCCTAACCCTTAGAGTAGATCATCCTAAGTACAAATTAGTTGCCATCTTCTTCTGCCTAACCATTTCTCAATCCAAATTTTTGTCTTGAAATTTCTCATCTGTGGATGTTTTCTGTCAATCCCAAATAAAACAATACTAACCAGCTGTTGTATGTGAGAGAGAAGGAATGACTGTATGAGGTACAAGTATGTGTCAAGTGTTAAGGTTAGGCGATTACAGGCTCACATTATTTTCAGGTAGATTGAACTCATATCACATTGACAAGATTTTTTATCGCTTGTATCACAGAATTGCGAACAATTCTGTATAAAATTGTATTTAAGGTACTCTTGGTCTCTCACACCATACTGTTATTGAGCTGATATCTCACCTTGTGGACAAAATGAGGCGAGGTCATGTCAAACCAAATGATGTGACATGAAAGTGAAACCATAAAAAATCAGTAGAATCAAATACTCACCTGCACTTTTTGTGTAATAAGATTAATAATTGCTTACATTTATATTTAAAGTCTTATTGAAATCTCTCAATGCCATTATTTGTCTTGATAGGAGAATAATTAGTGGACCAAGAAGATCCAAATCGCCTCAATGTAAGTAATTAAGATGTTCCAATTTAGGATCCATTTGAAGCAGTAGTTAAGTGTATTATTAAATGAGCAGTACAGACAATTTTGTATACTGCTTAAAGTCTTTATTTAGACTTTAGATATTATAGAACTTTAGAAAGTCTTTTATTTTGTAGAATTAGATTCTAGAACTTTAAAAAAACCTTCATTTTTCAGTTCAGTTCTGTAACTGTCAGCTGATTGTTTAAACTTGCTTTTTAGAACTAGAAACTCATTTACTCAATACATATTCTTTAAATGAAATACTGGCATTTTGTTGATTAATTTCTACCGAAATTACATTTGTTAAGACTATTTGTGGACAAACTTTAAAGGTTCTATTTGTATGAGTACTTTGGTGAGTTGATAAATGATTGGAAAGGACAAATACTGTTCAGAAGACACAGAGATTCCTACAATTACAATACAACAAAGTACAAATAAACACATAACTTTGAAAGATAAAAATATGAAAAAAGTGAAAAAAAAACATTTAAAAAACAGAATATTATGGAGCATAAATATATGATGTTTAAACTAATAGTTCATGAGCCAAAAGACCTCCAAGTCTATAATTTTCCCAAATTTCAAATATTTTCTTTCTATCTCAATATACTGCTTTTTCTGGAGGTCATGGAAATCGCCCACAATGGAAAATGTCCACAAATATATGGAAAACATCCACAGATGAAATGGAAAACGTCCATAGTTGAAATAGCAAATGTGCACATCTTTAATAGAAAGAATGTTGTACTTTGTTGTATTGTATTTGAATTTTATTATATTGAATTTCTGGTTCATCACAACTGTAATCATCTTTTCCAATCATTTACCAATCTGCCAAAGTACTCACACAAATAGAACGTTTCAAGTTCGTCCACAAATTGTCTAACAAATGTAATTTTAGGTAGAAATGAATCAACAAAACACGAGTATTTTGTGCAAAGAATACATATTGAGTAAAATGAGCTTCTAGTTCTAAACAAGCTAGTTTAAACAACTAGCTGATGGTTAGAAAACTGAACTATCAACTGTTAATTTTGTAGAGTTTATATACTCTTTTAAAGGTGGATAGTTCACAAATTGGTTTTATTGCCATGCATTGTATATGCACTGCCTTACGTGAAACTAGGTCAATACTGCTTATCTCTATGAGTACAATACTAGTTCAATACTACTTCTCTATTGTAGAGTATAGCTGACAAATGTAAGTATACAAATTCCTATAATTACAATACAACAAAGTACACTAAAGAGCTTTTATATATAAAGAGCCTCATAGAAAGTGAAGAATTTTTCCCATAATGCAATATATGCCAGAAAAGGCTTTTAATAATAAAAGTTTAAAAATTCCTACAGATATAATTTCTAAATACATTGTTGATAACAAAGGAAACTTTAAAATTATATAAAAGATTTTAGTGGAGCAGTCCATTTATTACTTTTATGGCTAACAAATATTGTATTTATGTGTTTTCTGTTGTCATTTTCAAGGTCAGATTTTAGAAAAAGAAGTCATCTGTGAAAATTATCTTTGGTGTCTTAATAGTTCTTTTAGTCACTGTATCTCCAACAAACGCCACATACAAATTTTCAACAAGGGTAAAGAGAACCTATATTGCAATAATAAAGCAATATCTCCAATTAAAATCACTCACAATATTTGACCCTTTATCAAGTGAGTGTGAAAGGCCACAGTATGTACAATCGCCACCAGACTGATTATTAACAGGCTTGATATACCCACAGGTGGAATGTAAGTGTCTTCCACTTGATGTTGAAGCTTGCCCCTATGTTGGAAAGATAGAAAGAAGTACTTTCATTTTTCTACAGGAACTCAAAGTATTTTCAAAATTTTTGAAAGTAGTCAAAAAAAATCAATGTTTAAAACGATTTTCAGTAGAAAAAATGTTTTGAAAATATTTTATGAAAAATCATAATAGAAGCAAGATCATTGCTTTATGTGATTCAGGAGCACTTTTGTCATTTATGACCTATTTTGAGAAACCAGTGTAAATAGTTTTTTATTGGCATTTATTGCAAGTTGATATTTATTAAATAATATTAAGTTCAAGGTTTTAGGTCGGTCCAGTGGATTTTCAGCTAAAGTAGTATTTAGGTCAAAACCTGTTCCACTAATATATACTAATTTTTTTGGTCACTTGTTACTTTTACATTTAGAAAAAATGTTACTTTTATGCTGGACAACTGTAAAAAGCACTTTTATACCATAATTAGTACACTTTTAATTCAGGAAACTACAAACAGTGAATTGAGAAAAAGAACAGTTTTTCTAGTAGTTAATAAAGTTGTATGTGAATTTTGTAATTTGGCAATCTGACAATATATGAACTTTTAGAAATTACACAATTAGGCCTATGATATTATCATATGATAGAAAAACTTTTAATAATTGCTTTTTTTTGTAAACTATAGACTTAACTCAATACTATTTAATGTGAATGCTTAACAAAAGCAATTGTGCTTAAAGTATTAACAATACTGGTTTTGTAAAGGTTTTTCTTTTGAATAAATCATAAAAGAGAAACAGAATTCTCAAATTTCAAGAGTCCCAATGGATTTTAGGAAGCAGTCAAAGAAAAAATACACCAAAATCAACATTTAAAACAATTTCCTAAAGAAAAAATTTTTTCTGAATTTTTTAATGATTTCCTACCTACACAACCTATCACAGTTTCCTCCTCCTCTCTATGATCAATATCAAGGACTCATCATAGTCTAATAACCTACAACTACAGAGAGATTGAAGATTTCCAATAGGGAATTCTCTTTTTCAGGTATTTTTTAATACAGAAGAAAAAGCTTTTGCTAAAATATTTTGTTGGCAAAATAAAACTTTAACAGCAATCTAGAGAATGCTAAAGCTCCTGACCACATTTTTATAAGCAATACTATTATTTATTTGTACTTTGTTGCATTATGATCTGAGGAATTTTGGAATTCATCCATACCACCCCTTAAATATTATGCCAAAGTACTGGTCCAAATTGAACCACAAGTTTGTCCACAAGAATAAGCAAATAAATGATATTTGTCCAAAGTATTATATCAAACTTTCAACAGAATATCAGTATTTTCCAAATAACATATTTATTGAATATTCTGAACTTTAATCTCTAAGCAATTGGTTAGAAAACTAAGCTAACAACTGTTAAATTCCTATATATACTTTTCTAAGAGTTTAACAGTTCACAATTTCAAATTTTCAACAATGAAAGTGATGTTTTGACACATTTGAAAGTTCTAAAAATGGTTCTGTCTTAAATTGATTTCAATCATCCTAAGCAATTAGGTTAGATAAATTTTAATGGTCAGCTTCTTTTGTAAGATGTAACAATTTTGGTTACATTCAATGGGTGAATTGAATGTGAGAAGTTTGAACTGGTACAAAAGTCAACAAGAGTTGAGTTTGATCTTTTGATACTCTATAGCTGGCCACTAAATTTATGTTCTTAGGCAGATAAAGTAAGGCTAATGTAGTTCTACATTTACTAAAACTTGAATTATATCAGTGTATCACATTCACACTTTCCTATGGTCTTAAATGCAGGTAATTGACATGGACTGAAATAGTTCTTCTAGATAGTTACCTACTAGCTAGAGTAACCTTACAGTGTGTGTGTGGATGGGGAGAAAATAAAAATTTTGGACACACCTAAAAGGACATTAGAAAATATAGGCTTATCCAAAGCTTCATCATTCAGCATTAGCAAACCTATACCTTATCTCCTAACTTGATCAAAAACATGATTTCTAAAAACATAATACAGCAAAGATTTTAATAGAAAACATAAAGTGTTCTTTGGCACAATCTTTTTTATATGCCTGTCATTTAAAGTTATTAAAGATTTTATACTGAATTGAGTTTACTCTTAAGACCAACTTGAAAAAGACTGTTTAGACCTATATAGGCTCAACCTATTATACTTAAAATATAATATTGCCTGGTGTCCAAAAAAGTATAAAAACACTTGGTAAAAAGTATTTTTTTCATTATGAGAAAAAATGAGGCAGATTCACATACTTAGTTTTCTTCTTCTACTTTTAGCTTGTGGAATTAATTGTCAAATAGCTCTGAAAGTTATTGTGCAGGCTGTTGCTATAGAAGGAAAATCAATGGTTATTTTTCTAGAAAAGGTCACAGGAGCACCAACATGCAGGTTTGTATCATGTAAGTTTTATGTAAATGTGCTAAACTTTTTATTTTTACAGTATATCCACTGCAAAACCTGATGGAACAGTAATTCATACTGGTACAGTAACTCTGACCTCAGAAATGATGCAATATGAAATTCCAAGCACTGCAATTGGGAGTATAACCAACAGTTTCTTTGCTAAAAGTACCTTCACATGTCAACTTAATTCAGAAGAACTAGCTTTTTCACATCAAACATATGTTTACTCTCAAGAAGGTATAATTTAGAAATAAATTTCCTACTGCAAAATCATAATGAAATATTTTTTTTCAGACTTTGGTCAGAATGAACTATCTGATATATTTTTTTTATTCATTGAAATGTCCAGTCAGCAATCATCGCCAACTACTATTGGTGTTAGTGTTGGTCGTGGTAGTACTGATACTACTTGCAGGTGGGTTGTATAAATTTTATAGAAGTCATCAATCATTAAAACAAATTTCGGCAACATGAGAAGTTTAGATTCATACAATTTTTTGTTATACTTACCATCAAAAACATTACATTGTCACTTTAAAATCTCAGTTAAGATGTGAATACAATTTCTTCTACATTATTCATTCATACACAGCAGACATTTAATCTTTATATTTTCACAAAATAGTATTTACTCACAACATTTTTTATTGTTAAAAATATATTTTTATTTCACTTCAATTTCAGAACTGAATCTACAGATACTTCTAAAGTTACAATTGATGTATCTGGACCATTTACTATTGACTCGAGTCAAGAAATTATAGCAACAAAGACTGGATCCAGTGACTTTGCATTTGTAAAGGCAACATGTGAGGTGGCTTCAAAATCTTTTATAACCTATATTCCAGTATATTTTGCCAGTGGTTCAACTGATTTATGGGTCTCTGCAACAGGAGATCCACATTTTGAACAAGTTATTAATGATATTTCTACATTGGAAAAAAAACATATTTGTTATGATGTAACTGGTACAACTGGTGATTATATATATATAGCTGGATTTTTTATGAAAGGAATTAAAATTTTTGGACAGCTTAAAGATGATTATTATATCCATAAAATTGTTGTTCAAACACCTTTTGGTAATATGAGCTTTTCAATTGACAGCTTTACTCTTGATAATAAAAAAACTTTTGCATGGAATCATAGTCTGCAAAATTTACTTTTAGCCACTGACCAATTCAAATATCATATAAAAAATTGTAAAATGATTGTGATAACTGAAAGAAGATCTTCATTCTCAATTAAAATTCAAAAATCTACACATGCTCTTGGAGAATATCATCTAGATGTTAGCTTTAAGACTGTGCCTGAAGATTACCCACAAATGACTGGGTTACTTGGTGATGTTGGAAAAAAACACTTTACATTCTACTCAGTGATTCAATCTAACAGAGATGAAAGTGAATTTAAGTCTGTTGCAGTTAAAGTTAATAATAATTTAATAAGAGGAAGACTTCAAAACAGAAAAGATCAAATTTCTTGTTGGCTGATGGATATTAATGATATCCTAAAGCCTTTCAAGATATCCAATTATTTGCTCCAGAAAATTTAATGACAAAGATTTTGCTATTGACAAATAAAATATTTTATATAAAGTAACATACAGTTTTTACAGAATGAATACAGATTAATTAAAAAAATCAAAAGTAATTATATCTATCTGTTTTTATCCAACTGAATTTTTCAATATCCTGTAGAGGACAGTAGTAGTAAGAACACTAATAATACAATTTTCTTTAAAGGCTGAGAAAGCTGGGGAAAAGCTAAAATTGTTTTCAATGATTTCCATTCTCATAGCTCTATTGGGGGTGCAGAAAAAACATCCTTGGGAAATAACATCCCTGGGAAAAAACATCTTAAGTTTTGGGAAAAAATGTCCTATGCAGGGCTAAAGATATGCTAGGCATAATTAATGATACTTTTAATCAGAAATATTTTTCTCTTAGTTGTTTACTTCATTTATCAAAAAAATATTAATATTTTTGAACAAAGGTATATGTATTATAATGTTTTTACCTGTTTTCTCTGAATTATATTGTACTTTCCTGCTGAGGTTGTAGGTAAGTACTGGTCCAAATAGAACCGAACCAGGAGTAAGCCACTTAGAAGAGAGATGTAGAATTGATGAAGGATGAATATAGAACCAAAATGTAAGAATAATATAACTGTATTCTAAAGTAATACTAGACCTGTTCACTAAGGGAGGTGATTCAGGACTGAATGCCTGTTACTGCCTATGCCCTGCTTTTATACAATTCCTTATCAGTTGTTTATGCCTTGGCTGGCAACAACAAGGGTCTAACCCCAGATAAGGGTTGTTCACAACAAATAGGGTCAAGGGTTATCATATTATGCATTAGTGATGTAAACAACAACAACTTTGTGTAGGTTACCTGTCAAGGGTCAATTCTTACATCATATTTATGTAAACAAACACTTGTTGTTGATGTTGTCAACATGTTTGATATGTAACATCTTATTCTTTGCCTATAAAAGGGGTTGATTCTGGCAGTTGGGTACCATCTACCCTAGAGGCAACATCTACTTCAACACTTCTACCATATAGTAAGTATCATTCATAAAATATCTATAAACTATAGTTCATAAGTGTACATATATAATGTTATTAAAAGAGAAATGAATTACTTCATTGTATTGTCTATAAGTGAAAGATAAATTTTACATTTTTTGGCATATTTTCAGGCTAATTTGTTTTTTAAACATTGATACTCTTGTATTGACTTGGTTTATTGAATATTACAAGATTATACAATTTCTTTAAAAACTCTTCTTTCCTGTTAGTTATTATTTATAATTTTTGTCTTGGCAGCCATATTTGATATTTGAAAGTGAATTTAATTTTGCAGAATTTTAGTCATGACACCTGTTTCCATTAACTGTAATAAAGGATTTTATGGTAGATAGAGAAAGATGAAATGCAGTGACTGCCAAGATTATGTCCATGCCAAATGCATCAAAGGTCTCTCTCTTTATATGTTTTTATTAAATTATTCATGTTTTTCATTTTTAATTTAGCATCTCAAAGAGTATTTTGCAATATTTATGCAGAAAAGTTCAGGATTGAAGAAATTGCTTTTTCACTTTTTCATCATAACTGTAAAGGTGATATTTACTACATAAAAACATACATTTACTTAACTTTGCTTAATATTACAGACATGATAGTTGATAAGTGTTCTTCATGCAAAAGTGTGAGTGACAGATATTAGTTTATCAGATGTGATCAATGATGATCCCACTGTAAAAGCTGCTCTGATTTGTACTCTTAATAGCATGGTTAAAGACAATTATAGTCTTGATGAAGTTAATAATACTTGTAATATGGAGGAAAACTTATTGCATGCAAATGAACCTGAAAAAAATGAGAATACTGAAGACTCAGACAAATTTCATATTACTATTGGTGAAGGAGGAGAAGATATTTTGACCAACAATGGCTATGCTTTTAATAAAAAATCTAGAAGTGACAAGAGAACTAACTGGTGAGGTTCTGGTAGAAATAAGAGTGTTCAATGTCCAGTTATTATTCAACAAAAAGGAAATACTTTCATAAAGAGTAAACATGAACACAATCATATCAAAAGGCATGATTACATCTGCTGCCTCTAGAAGAAGATTGCATCAATCTATTCAAAATAATTCTTAGTGTCTTATCATACTTTGTTTGTATTCTTGTAACTTTTAAACTTTGTATAACTTTCTTAGCTTTTTACATTTGTAATACATTATTATAAACATACATTAATTATTAATTATTATATTCTCACTATATAACTATTAGTTCAAAAATAGAGAAATTTTTTTACCATACAAATATCTTTTCCCACTCCTTAGGATGTTTTTTCCCATTCTCATTCTATTGTTTTTCTAAATTTTTTAAATAAAAGCCTTTGCTTTTGTTATGACAAAGAATATTTAAGAATAATGAAATTCTGAAGAAAAATCATTTTACCCTTTTATTATCTGTGGATGTAATTGTGAAGCAGAAGATTATAAAAATTTGAACAAATTAGAAAAAAGGATTAGGGATTTATTTGAACATCACAGACTTACTTCCAACAAAATGGTGGACATAATGGAAGGGAGAGCTAAAAATATAATGATTAATTTTTTAATTGTTTTTATAGTGGTTAATAAAAGGTCTATGTATACAGCTTAAGAAATATAGTCAAATACAATTACATTCCATCTGACTCAGGGAAAAAGAATGTTACAATGAAGCATATTCTCTTGGCATTTGTTTTTATGACATCAAAGCAAAAAATAATTATGGAATAGTATGGTAGCCATTCAATCATATTTTGTTGCTTCCTTATGTTTTTCAAAGAATTCCTAAATGATCTTTTAAATAATTTTGTTTAGTTAAATATTGTGCAATATTCTTTTTACATTTTCTATCATTTTCTTTGTTTTCTTCGTTTTTTTCATCATGAAAATACAGTTTATATCCAATTGCATCCCCAATTTCCTTACCAATTTTGCTGTATCTGCAATACATTTTTGTTCTGATCATAGGGGTCAGAACATTTCAGCCCAGGACATTTCGGCCCATTCTAAGGTAATCATACTAAAGGCATTGTGTCTCACTTGAAGATAGGTTTAGTACTTATGAATTGATAAATATGACAAATATAATTTTTATTTTGTGAACAATTATGTTTATTTTTTTAATATAAAAAACAATTTACAAAAAGTAAGGAGTGTTAAGTTTAATAACTAAAATGCAGAACAAGAAATAACAAATTTTAACAGATATTTAAATCAACAAGTCTATCCAATAATTTGTCCAAACTCAATTCTCTTTCTTCAAATTTACTCCACAACTGGAATATTTTAAATTCTAAATCTTTATACTTCTTCTTCTGTATTTTTCTTAACTTTTTTTCAGACAATAACTTTTCAAAGATCTCTACTAATTCAGCTTCTCTTTTCAATTCTTTATTAGAGAATAAAAGTTCTCATCCATTTTCAATGTCTGGAATGCCATGCCTCAACATGATTGTTTGTTCTCACAATTAATTGATAAACAGACCAGAATTGAGGAGGCCAAGTACTGCTTTTAATGAATGTTACTTCTATATATTCAAGCAAATCTGTAAACAATTTTTTTTCACAAAGTTCTTCTTTTAGTTGGACAAACTTTTGTTTTTTTGTAGAAGGTCAAGTGAAATTAGCCTTACTCTGCCAATGACTTATACTCAAAAATTTTACTTTTGACAAACAATTATTATTAATAATTTGTGGTATTTAAAAACAGCATTATGTTGACATCTGTCTATTTTTGTGTGTTGGAACCAATCCAACATATAGCAAAAATTGTTACATCGTATGCAATTTTCTGACCTATTGACAACAGTTTTCCTTAACAAAGCAAAGTCAACAAATATGGAACCATATTTGAACTTTCCTTTTATCCATAATGATACATTTGTTTTGTGTAGATATTTTTATCTGTGAACTGTCAACTTTTGGAAAAGTATATAAAGCCTATGAATTTATCAGTAGGCAGTTCAGTTTTCTAACAGCTAACTTTGTGTTAAAACTTGCTTGTTTAGAACTAGAAACTCATTTACTCAATAAATACTCTTTGAACGAAATACTGGTGTTTTGTTGGTAAATTTCTTGTAAAGTTTCATTTGTTGAGACAACTTGTGGACGAACTTGAAAGGTTCTATTTGGACCAGTACTTTGGTACATTGGTAAATGATTGGTGAGGACAAATTTGAATTTGATAAGCTCGAGATTCCTACAATTACAATACAACAAAGTACAGAGACAATATCTTTCACTCAAACTTTTGCATGAAGAACACTTATCATCTTTCATTTCTGTAATATTAAGCAAAGTTAAATAAATGTATGTTTTTACATAGTAAATATCACCTTTACAGATATGATGACAAAGTGAACATGTAATTTCTTCAATCCTGAACTTTTCTGCACAATTATTGCAAAATACTCTTTCAGATTCTAAATTGAAAGTGAAAAAAGTGAATAATTTAATAAAAACATATAAAGAGACAGACCTTTGATGCATTTGGCATGGACATAATCTTGGTAGTCACTGCATTTCATCTTTCTCTGGCTGCCATAAAATCTTTTATTACAATTAATACAAACAGGTGCCATTACCAAGTTTCTGTAGAAATAAATTCACTTTCAAATATCAAATATGGCTGCCAATACAAAAATTATAAATAATAACTCATGGGAAAGAAGGGTTCTTAAAAAATGTATAATCTTGTAATATTCAATAAACCTGTACTTTGTTGTATTGTAATTGTAGGAATTTCTGGTTCGTCACAACTGTAATTGTCCTTTCCAATCATTTACCAACTTGCCAAAGTACTCAAACAAATAGAACATTTAAAGTTCGTCCACAAATAGTCTAACAAAGGCAATTTCGGTAGAAATTGATTAACAAAACACCAGTATTTTGTCCAAAGAATATGTATTGAGTAAAATGAGCTTCTAGTTCTAAACAATCTAGTTTAAACAACTAGCTGACGGTTAGAAAAGTGAACTGTCAACT